CTTCCTCTCCTCCTGACGCTTCTCCTCCCGCCGCCTTTCTTTCTCTTCCAGGCGTCTCTTCTCATCTTCACGGTCTTTCTTCAGGCGCGAATCCGCTTCAATCGTGTCTTTCACTTCTGACGCATCAGGCATATCTGTGTCCACATCCTCAGACTTGACGTGAATGCTGGACTTATCGCTGTTACTGGACTTGCCGGACTCCCTTCTGTGACCGTCAGGGTCGGCCTTGGGTTTGGACGGTCTGCGATCGCTGTCCTCCTGGTCCCTCAAGCTTGACCTAGATCGCAGGGGGGAGTCGCGAGAAGCTCGGTGGGGGTCGTCGGGAGATGCTGTCGACTTTGGTCGTCGCTCTTTGCCGTCGATATCGAGCCGCCTTCGCTTCACGGGAGCTTCGCCCTCGTCTTTATCGCCCATGCTCGAATGGGGCGGAGTGACGCTGGACCGATGCCTCTTGGAAGAGTTGTCGCCTGAGACAGAAAGCCGATCTCTAGACTCGTCCCTCTTGAGAGCCTTGGTGCGATCGTGGTACTTTTCTGACAGGGGCTCACCCTTTGGCTTCTCGGGATGGTCGTCGTGCTTGGGGTCGCGAGGGCTTGAAGGGTCCTTGATGGATGAAGTGGCGGACACCATACTAGCGCGTCGATTTTTCTCTCTCTCACCGCGGAGTTCCCCCTTGGAGACCAACTTCCGACGAGGTTTGGCAGCCTCCCCTTCAGACGACATGGCAGCAACGTCGGATTCTGCTCGTTTCACAGATTTGATTGATTGTTTCTGCGATAGTGCAGGGGATGCTTCTCGGTCTGATACGGCGATCGTTGGTAATCGGTCCTCTTTTCTAGGTCTGCCAGGACCACGCTTTGGTGAAGCCTGATCGTCGTGGAAGGAGTCAGCCCGTCGCTTTTCTTTCGGACTGGTGACGTTTCGAGTAGAAAGTTTTTTCCTCTTCTCCGGATCGCGTGGGGGGCTAGAAAGGTTGCGCTTGTGTGGCCGAGCTTCGTCTTTGAGTTCGTTGCGGCCCTGGCGCTTCGTCTCACGGTCTTGTTCCCTTTCCCGCTCCCTTTCGCGCTCTTTCTCGCGCTCGCGCCTACTCGGAGATTTCGTCTTGGCGATGTCGCGATGCGACTTTCTGTACGCATCGTAAGCTTCCTTGAGCATGTGCTCCTCGTCTTTCCAGTTCGTTCCTTGTCGGCGTCGGGCAATCTCGTAGTATGTCTCGCCTTTGAACCGCCGCGTCGGGTCAAAGTTGCCCTGATCCAAGAGCAATCTAACAACCTTGATGTTTTCTTGACCAATCGCGGCCAGCATGGGTGTTGCAAACTCGGGCGGCATGCTCGAGACGGGAGCAGGATCTGGGTTTGCGCCGCCCAACGCGAGCAGGAGCTGGATAACCACCTCGTGGCCACCTCGAGCAGCCGCAACCATGGCTTCGGAATCATCGCAACCATCCTTGACTTGCAGAATCCGCGTCACAGTCTCCTCGTCTCCCTTGCCAGCAGCTTGTCGAAGTGTCTTATCGTCTAGTGACATATACAGCAAGTGGTTGCTCGTTTTATTTGCCCTTACGGTACCGGCCCGACGGCCACTCGCGTGAGAAGCCGAGGGTGCCGGTGATCGTCGAGGGCTGTCTGGCCCGTGAGAAGATCGACTATCGGGGTGGTCGGTCTGATGGTGGTCCTCGGATGTGCGCCTTCTATCGCCCTGTCTGGACTTTGCTTCGACGAGCGCAGCCCGGAACTCTTCTGCGTTCTCCAGATCATCGCTTACTCGATCCAAAGGTTCTTCGCCGCTCAAGTTGGCCTTCCGAGGATTGACTCCGGCGTTGAGGAGCATTTTCACTACTCCCAAATGACCATTGTCGACGGCGTCCAACAATGGTGTGTCCTTGTCGTAGTTCACGCAGTCTAGGTTGCAGCCGGCGTCGATGAGGAGCTTCACGATATCCTCGTAACCATTAATCGCAGCGATCTGCAGTGGCGTGTTGCCAGCGTAATCAGCTACGTTGAGGTCTTCGGGTCGCTCACCCAGTCTTTGCTTAGCAAGGTCGTATTCGCCTCTGGCACATGCTCTGGCAAGGAAAGTTTGGCCGTGTGCGTCGAGGTGCTTCTTGTGCGGCGCAATCTTGGCGGGTGACATGTTTGACTCGGCGGTGGCGGGTGTGGAAAGATTGCGAAGCTTGGAGCTCCGGGGATGAGGGCTGCCGCTGGCAGAGGACTCGTCCGAATGGTAATCAGTTGACTGCAGAGGGGGAGGCAAGCGCTTCTTCTTGTGGCTCAGGCCATTGGAAGAGTTTGCAGGCAGCTGCGTCGAAACGCTCCGCCGGTGGGCACGTGGCTGGTGGGGAGATACGGATCTGGTGCGTGAGCTTGAGTGGCCGTCGTGTTCCCTCTTGGATGAAGAGGAGGACTTTGGCTCCTTGGACAGGCGGTTCGCGCGAGATTCGACGCCACCGTTGTGATCCGCGATGATGCGTTGCCGTCGGGCCTTTCGATTTTCCGCCTCGTCCTCCGAGTCTGCCCTGGAAGCTTTGCGTTTGTGGGGTATCGTCCTATCGGTGGACTTGGCTCGGTCTTTCATGGACAGCTTGGGGGATTTCCTACGGTCAGCACCCGTGTCGGTATCGGAGTGCCCACCAGATCGACGCATGTGGTGGGGAGGCGAGGTTGGAGCCGAACTGAGGCCACTGGAACCGTCTTTGCTCCTCACCGATTGATCGTGGATGCGTTTCTTCTTCAATCCGAGCGAGGAGGCCGTTTCGGACAGGCGGGGAGGATTGGCCATCTTCTCTTTGTCGCCGTCTCTGCTAGCGCTGGCATCACGGATTTTGCGGAGGGGCGGGGGTGCCGGGGGCTCTCCATCGCTGCGATCCTCGTGCTTCACCTTCCTCACCTTGGAGGGCGAGTGACCATCCTTACCAGGCAGCACGATGGTTTCGGCATCCGAGTCTCGGTCGGCAGGAGCGTAGTCGGCGGCGGGGGGAGCGCGCGATACGATTACGCTAGACTTGATGTCCTTGGGCAGATGAGGCGGAGATTTGATGAACTCGTCCGCAGCCTTCGCAGGCTTGCTGTTGGGCTCGGTTGACTCTTTGGACTCATCAGGCTGGTGACTGCCCGGTCGCTTCTCCGCAGCAGCGACGGGCTTCGGCTTGTCGGACCCGGCAGCATTCTGCGCATCCATATCATTTATCTAGAGGTCGAAAAACCGGCCAGCACCATCCTGGCCAAGGGTCGGCCAAAAGAAAGAGAGTCGAGAGTGCTGGTTGAATTGATTGTGGTCGGTGGACGATTCCTCAGTCGGTGGAACGACAACCCCCTAACAGAAAATGGGCAGAGCAGTCACGGGGGGTCGCGCGAAGCAGGCGTCGATTGTGGATGGCGGGTGGTAGAGTTGGATGTAGTAGAGACTGGATCACGTCGACGATGAAAGGGAAAAAAAAAACAAAAAAAACAAAGAAAGCGCCTGGCCGAGTGGGAATAATGCGTATAGGCTCGATGGACGCGGCGTGGGTAAGTAATGCGGAAAAAAAGGCTCTGGCAGTGACGCTCGACGCTTCAGTATGGCTGAAGGTAGAGAAAATGGGGCCGCGAGAGGTCGTCGGAGTCAAAAGTCTGATCGCCACATCTTTGATTGGACCCGAGGGGGGACACTTGGGCTTTGGGACACGGGACAGACAGGAGGAGCACCGACAGCAGGCAGACAGACAGGCCAGGCAGGCAGTCGAGAGCCTGCACCTGGTAGTAGCGGCGGCGGTGTCAGTCAGTAGTGTAGCAGTGGCAGCCTGACGGTTGAGGTGGGCACCGCGACGCTCACACATGCAGTCAGAACTAGGCCACATAATTAGTATAGAACTGGATTTCGAGGTACTTGGGTGATGGGCGGTCGTTTGCGGAGAAGACAAGTACCGTCGATATACGCACCCAAAACGAGGATGGGCGAGGATACCACCTGGAATTACTACGTAGCCCCGGCACCCACCTTGCTTCAGAAAGATAGGTACTTACATGGAAGGTTGAGAGATAGCGACGCTAATTTCTCTCCTTTCCTTTTTCGCCTCCGGTTCTGGCTCTGGTTCTGGTCCTGGCTCTGGCTCTGCAAGCTGCACCGCTGGGTGCATGATGATGGACCACCTGACCCTGGACGGCCAGCCGTCGGAAATTGTCCTCAAGATCTCAATTCAAAACCATCCCCCCGCAGCATTACTGGCCTGGTCTTTCCATACTACTACGGTACCTAGTTCGCTGTCCCGATACCTGCCTACATCGTGCATCACACTACGTGTAGGTGTCTGGGTAGGTACCTGGGTGGGAAACCTCAAGCCATCCCAGTTTGCTGCAGGTCTGACCTTTTGGTGCTACCCGAAAGTTACGTACCCAAGCCTTCGATTTCCCAATGCCCCCCAACCTCGGCCAATCCCAACCTCCTCCAGAGCCCAGCGTCGTAGCAGGCTCCTCCTTTCCCCCTCCCCTCGTCGTCGCATCTCGAATTCAGCCAGCGAATCATAGTCGAGTCTGAAAGCAGTGAGCTCTCGACACCTGGCAGCCTGAGCATCGCCGCACCGGCGTGACTGGGAACGGACACTTGACGGTCATGCACTCCTATCTGCCGTAGCTAACACCTGCCGGCGCCTGGTTCCCTCTAGCGCCCCTTGGAGCAAGCGTCCCGTTCTTGCCTCCTTTGTTCCGACGCCACCCAACACACCCTCGTCCCTCTTCTGCCTGTCTGCCTGCGACGACTTGCAAAAGCGACGGGCAAACTGGCTCGACGTGGTCGTGAGGCAATCAAGGCACCGCATCTTCTTCTGTTTCCAGCTCCTTTCGTCGATTCCCCACATGACCTTCCCGCTCTCGTCTCCTCACCCACTTGCCTGGATCCTCCCAGCTTAACCCGGAGCCGTTTGGCGTTTGGCGTTTGGCTACTTACTAGTAGGTGCTAGGCTCCCCACACCCACCACGTTCCAGTCGGAGCTTGAGCTCACACGCTTGACGATTGACCTGATACCCCTCGTTCATGCCGACAAGCTTCGCTATACCTGATCTTTTCGACTTCGCCATCCACATCAGCAATAAGTCACGTAATTTATTGGGCATTTCCCATACACAAGATTGGGCGCAGCGCCAAATTGCACCACCTGCGCCCCAACTTGCATACGTGGGGCGAAGCCTGCCATTATGGATTCGAGAGCTGTGAATCTGCCAGCCTCCCTTGACGACGTCAGGATCGAGAAGCTGCCGCCATCGTCTTTTTACATCGCAAACTTTATATCAGAGGAGGAGGAACAATTCCTGTTGCAAAAGGTACGATGCCTCTGTTCCCCTCCCCCCTCAAAAGGAGAAAAAATCCGTTCCCCAAAGTTTGCAATTGCGGCTAACCACCGGTCCCCGTCACGCAACAGATAGCTGATGCGCCGAAACCACGCTGGAAACAACTGACTCATCGACGTCTTCAAACGTGGCCGTCTGATCTCGTCAACAACAAGCTGATTGACGCCTCCTTGCCACACTGGCTTCAAGAGCCCGTGGTCTCGCGAATTCTTTCCTTGCCTCTTGTCGCCGGTCCTGATTCGTCCAATCTCTTCGCCGACAGCCCTCACGAGCGGCCGAACCATGTGTTGATTAACGAGTATCCTCCTGGAGTTGGAATCATGCCGCATAAGTTGAGTACACGGTAGGTGGTTGATGTGAGGAGCTTTTGAATCTCATACTAGCTACAGGACGGGTCTGCTTATCATCCAGTCGTGTGCACTGTCAGCCTTGGAGCAAGCCTGTGCCTGAACCTTTACCAAAGCAAAGAGGACGGCGGGTTGGATCCGGAGCCTGTGGGACGCATTCTCCAGGAACCTAGAAGCCTCCTCGTCACGACGGACGACCTTTACACCGATTTCCTACATGGGATTGCCGATATTGAGGAGGACATTGGACTTTCAGCCGAGAATATTGCGAACTGGGACCTCCTGCGATCGAGATCCGATTTCGCTGCCGGCCGGAACATCCGTGCAACCAGAACAAGCCTCACGTATCGCGACGTGATGCAGGTTTCGAAGCTTGGGGCCAAGTTTGGGTTGTTTGGGAAGAAATGATGTTGCGGCTCAAGTGCGCCTAGAAGATGAACGGAATCATTCTCCATCTACCGGCCACTTTTTCAGGCCCAAACTTTTGCGCATACCATTGCTTCGTTCCGTCAGCTGTTGTGCCAAGGTTGGCAACAATGAACCATAGGGCGCATAGGAGAGTGCGGTTGATGAACTGGCCCTCCGGAGCGGCCGTGATGGCAAAGCCCAAATAGATGAGGCATTCGCAGGTGTAGTGGGGGCAGACGAGATATCGGAAAAGGCCACGGTCTGGCAACGAGTACTTCTTGAGGCTGGCCAGGTGTTTGTGGCACAGGTACTGATTGGTCCAGCCGTACAAGTACGTAGCCGTTCCGATGACGGCGGCAGGCGACAGCAGTCTCCCAAAATCCGGCTTGGTTGTCTCTCGTAGGGAAACTAAGAAAGGTCAGTGAAAACCGGAGGCGGGGCTGGCGTAAAGAGACTCGCCTGAACCGTCGACCCAGACGGATACGCCCATGCAGAGGTAAAATCCCAGTCCGAGCAACCAATGGACGAACCACATCTTGGAAGACCCCGGTTTCATCACAAACAGACATTCATAGAGTCTCCTCCCACCTTGTAGAGCCATAAGCGCCCAGGCAAGGACCGTCTGCTCGAAGCTCGTAGACGGAGTTCCGGAAGCTGCCTGCTGCGCTGCGATAGATGCGATGGCAGAGCCACCCTGGAGATACTGCCATGCCCAGAAAACCGAGCTCGCGACTGACGCAACGTAGAAGTGCATAAACCACGAGTGGGGGATCTGGCCGACTGAGGCCACCGCCCTGACCATGTTGATGAAAATACTCGATCCCTTGGGTCCAGCTGACTCCTTCGCCTGGTCACCGGTACTGGCCAGCGAACGTGGGCCGTAATCGAGGAGCAGGTGGTGGGCAGCCTTGGGGATCATCTGTATAGCCAGAACGGTCGCCGAGGAGACTCCGAAGAATATCTGACACCATTGAGCGGGAGTGAAGGCCGAAAGACCCTCGGTAATGAGTGTAAGGGAGGCCATGATGAGGCCTTGATGGACGCGCACTGCCAGCTGCGGTAGGTTCGAGGAGGGATATGCGTCGTACAGTGCCTCGAGGGGTGTTGATACGGTCCGTCTTGCGGCGGCCGGATCATCTACTGGCCGGACCCGTCAACTTTGGAAGCCAAGTCGACAAGGCGGAGCTTTTACTCAAAAAGCATGCACGAAAACATGAGGGATCAGCACGCTGCATCCTCCCGCCCAAGGTGAGGCGGGCGACGCCCCCCTTTTCGTAAGGCGTCCTAAATAAACATCGGCGAGGCGCAGCTGCGTCGCTGCATCCTTGGTCTGCCTGGTGTCTGCCTGGATAAGACCTGTGGGGGGCGCTATGAAATGTGGCAGTGAGTCTGTTGGGGGTTTGCCTTATGCTTGGATTTGCCAATAGGGCGGCCGCTGGTTGGTCGCCTGGTTAGTCGCCGGCATGGACAGAATGGGCGAACCGTGGCTCGTAAGGGGGGGTGGCTTGCACCACTGAGCCGCCATGTGTACGACAGCCCTTCGGCCTGTATATAAAGGGACCTCGACCTTTTTCTCGAATCCATCTCCGCGAAGCACACAAGCTCTTTTACACTTTGCCTCGATCCCCTTCCGGCGTCCATCGCACCATAACCTTTACCACGCGACCAACCTATCGTAGCCTATCCGCCCTAGTTTTCCTCTTTCGAGTCATCCTCGGACCTTTGCAAGGGGGGGGGGAAGGTTCCTTGCATCGTCGAAGCCTGTTCAACATGTCCGAAGCCATCGCCCTCTACACGGACGACGCCAGATGTTAGAGACCACCGCTGCTGAATTTGTACACCGAACGATATCGCAGATGCACTCAGTGTATGCCTTCATCCGGTGACTTGGTCCTTACAGGTGCTTGCAACTGTCTCGTGGTGAATGGAGCACCTCTTTTATCAAGCTCATAGATCTGGGTAGCCGTTGATAGCCACAGTGCACCACAGTGCAACTAGTTATATTGGCTTGAGGCCGAGGAAGGGGCAGGAGGGGGGCTCTGGAATCCGTAGTCGAGGGCGGCCCTTTGGTGGATGGGCCAGGAGGTTGAGTCGGCCAACTGTTCCGGCTTTGCTGCCTATACATGCCCCCGGATATAGAATTTGCTTTGGCGTTGGGGGTCTTCGCTTATGGTCAAGGGGGAAGGGGGGGGGGGGGGCTCAAGTGTCGTTAGTATAATTGATGTCGTCTAAATGGAGGCCAACATTGATGGCGTCGGAATACTCTTGGTTAGATTGCCCAACTACTTTCCATATTCTTCTGTGACATGCCAACGTGCCGAAGGAGAAGAGCGCCCTTCCCTTCTGCTCAGAACATCCCATTAGCCATTCCTCTGATATAAACTACCTGCACACTAACGACAGTATCCAGAGAACGAGCAGCCGTGTGACCAGACGGTGTTCTCGACCACTCGCAGACTGTATGTGACACTATTGAGACCAAACCGGTGGGAGGGGGGAGGTCAGCGATATTTGACTTGGCGTTTGCCCGAACCGATAACACCATCATCCATCTACACATATGGAACGGTATAAAATGTCGCCAAATACGTCGAGAATCCCTCCAGTTTCGCTCTCTCAAGCACTAAAGGCTCTGCCATATATCCCAGAGGGCCCTTCTCCTATTCCTGCCGCCCCTTAGTCCCCTCTTCCACCACCCCCTTCACACATCGCTTCTTTTCTCGTCTATCTATGGCCTTATTGACCTATGTACCCCGACTTGCTGCCTCGCTACTCCTCAATCTGACCCTGAGTTGAAGCTCGTCAAACGTCTCCTTCCTGTCTGTAAACCCGGGAGGAAAGCCGCAGTTCCCGAAGCTGACACGTCTGGCAATCGCCTCCGGTGGTTCTAGCGAGTTGAGCCCGTCGGCCTGGCCGTTGGTGAGTGAGTTAACCCCCCCCGTGAGAGGCTACGAAGCCCTCTTCCGACCGTTCTATGGCGAAGATCATCCTCATTCTAACCCCCTTTCTCTCCGCATCACACTCTAGCAGCATATGCAGTCAAGATAGTCCCCAGCCTGTGATGCTAGATGTGGCAACAATCCCTGGCGCCACATTTTTGCCGCTGCAGCCAGCCAGCCGTCATCACGAGGGAACGAGCCAAGGAACATTTAGCTTCTAACACGCGACCTCGCTTAACGGTCATGTTTTCTTAGTCGTGTATAGCATGGATGTAACTATGCATGTGTTGGCTGGAGGGGACTGTTCTAGGGAGACAGGCCCTGTGGAAAGGTAGGAAGCAGACGAGACGTACGAATTGACCCTAAACGCTACGGCGGGGCTGGAGCGCAACAAAGACCACTGTAATAGGCCGTATAGAGAGGCACATGATAGTTGGTTTCACGCAGACGGCTGCGCTGTAGGGGCGGCTTAGATGGGGGAAGGGCGAAGGGACATAGGATGTAGCTGGAATGCTGACGGGGAGTTTGGGTATACTGGTAGATCCCGGGCATCTATGAGCACACTCAACAGTATCAGGGGAAGCCTATGTGGTTATGGTTTATCTGTGCTTGCGGGGGCAGACGTGTTTATGTATCATGAGCCAAGCACCGTAAGAACCAGCCCGCGAGATGTGGCTCCGTCCGTTAGTGTCCTCGCTACTCCCAGACAGACCAGGGGTGCCAGTATACCAGCAAGCTTCTTGCTCGTTTGGCTAAGTCTTATGTAACTCTAAGGATATAGAGAATAGAAGCAGTTGACATCCGACATCATCTATCCGATTGTCTTGGATATGGCCATGGTCTATGCGCCGCACGCAGAGACGGATATTGCCCAAACTATTGGCATCAAAGGTGTCATGGCTTTACCGCTGAGGTATTAAAACAGATTGAATCAGTGGAGCTGGAGGGTATACCTATTCACGGGTCCGCTAGTCAAGACAGACATAGAAACAGAGCATATGCCAAACCTCAAACCACCCGGCTAGGGCAGCCTTCACGGACTCTGGACCGCGGCTCGGGCGTTTTTCTTTTCCTTTTCCCTCCACACATGCTCGGCGGACTTCTGTGGCAACCTTCGCCCGCATTCCACCCTGGGTTTGTGCGTATTAGGTTGTTATGCATAGCGATACTATATATGTGTCGGTGAACTGCACTATAGGGAAGAAACAAACAAACGCTTCTCAGAATTACTGGGCGTTCTCATAGGCATGCTGGTATACACTGGGGGTGCCACCGGTCAACTTCAATAAGTAACGCTCGAACGGTCCTAGAGGTTCCTCAACCATAACTCTTGCCAAAGGGCTGGTGGGGGCGTTCTTATTCGGCCCACAGTACTCCCAGACCCAGCGGCCGTCCTCGCACTCAGAAGGATGCTTCATACATGCCTTTCCGTCCTTCTCTGGCTCCCAAGCCGGGTGGTTTGGCACCGGATCTTTGTATTGGGCCTTTGTGCGGACAAGTCTCCAGTTTTTCATGGCAGGGTTGTCCCATACGCCAACGTCGTTGAGTCCAAGGCCTTTGCAGGCCAGGCGGATCCGCACCGACGAGTGAATTCGCTCGTTGGTATCCTGGAGGAAATAGGCGCTTGGGGCCTCCGTTTCAGCGTTGACCTGTTTGTATAGACCAGGCGAGCGGGTAATCGTGCCGGCCAATGAGTAAAGACGACTTGACGTATTCTGGATGGCGCCCAGGCCCCAAGGTCGGAGAGGTTGGT